CAAGTGGTAGAGCGCTAGCCTTGAGCTGAAGAGCTGAGGGACAGCACCCAGGCCCAGAGTTCAGGCCCCACAACCGACAAAAATAAATTACTTTATTTTATTTTATTTTTGTGCCATTCCTGGGGCTTGAACTCAGGACCTGGGTGCTGTCCCTGAGCTGTGTCCAGGGCACACAGCCTTCCTGAAGGAAAAGCAATCTGATGCTGAATGGTAATGGCCACCTTGTCCATTCTGTGTTGTCTCATGAACGAGCACATTGTACCCATCCTGCGATCGCTGTTACGGGCCAAATATCAAAACCTTGCAGCCGGCTGCCGTGCCGGCCTGCTCAGGCCTGCAGTCCCAGCTACTCAGGAGACCGAGGCCAAAGCCAGGCAGGGCAGGAAAATCCAGGAGACTCTCATCTCCAATGAACCAGCAAAAAGCCGGAAATGGAACTGTGGATGGAGTGGTAGAGAACCAGAGTTCAGCAAAAAAGCCACCGGAGAGCACAAGGCTGCGAGTTCAAGGCCTGGCAGGAGCAGACAACCAGGAAGAGCTTTGCTTGGCTTCTTCCCCCCGCACCCCCCCTCCTGTCCCTGGTGCTGGTGTCTCGTGGGGGGAGGCCTTCTCTGCCACCTAGCAGACACGCGGGGAAGTACACCCTCAGCTGATCATCTGGAGCAAAGTCCCTGAGATCCTACCTGCAACAAACCCGCAAAAAGGCTGACGTGTAGTTATGGTTCACATGCCAGAGTGCAAACCTTGAGTGACCTGAATTCAAGCCCCGGGACCGACACAGACACACAGAACGGCAAACACCCGCCCCAAACCCCTCATCTGCCTCATTAACACTAAATGCCAACACACTGTAACTACGTGGCTATTAATAAGCATTAATTAGCATTATGTCCTATGTTAGCATACTATATAAAGACCTTTGTCAGGCTAGGCAGGTGCCCTACCACTTAAACCATGCCTCCAGCCTCATTTTTGCCCTGGTTGATGTGTGTGTGCACATGTGTGTGCATTTGCACGTGCACACGCGTGCAAGAGCCTGTAATCTGAGTCTGGCTCTATTTTGTCATTTATTGTCTGAAGCCTTGGGTGTAGGTGAGTTTTTGTGCTTTTGTTGTCTGCTCCAACAGGTCAGAAAGCCAGGCACTGGTGGCTCACACCTGTAATTCCAGCTACTCGGGAGCCTAAAATGTGTGGATTATACTTTGAAGGCAGGCTGGGCAGGAACATCTGTGAGACTCTAATCTCCAAAAAAAAAAGCCAGGAGTGGAGCTGCGGCTCAAGTGATAGAGCACCAGCCTGGAGTGAAAGAGCTCAGGGACAGCGCCCAGACCCTGAGTTTAAGCCCCATGGTGACACTAACTAAATAAAGACATTAATCCAGACACGTGACTCCTATCTGTAATCCCAGCAACCCTGGAGGCAAAAGTCCAGGCCAACCCAAGCCACATCTCACAGGCTGAGCTAGGGAGGGCATGGCTGTAATCCCTGCTGATAGAGCAGGTAGAATGATCCAGGTCTGAACGATCAAAGGTGAGACCTAAGAATGCAAGCAAAAGGAAGCTTGGGGGAGTGGTTCAAATGGGAGGGGACATCCTGTCTGCGCGCAAGCCCCTGAATCCAAACCCAAGTCCAGGAGAGAGAAGACAGGCCATGGGGGCGGGGAGGGGGGGGTAAGTTCACTTACAAATTCTTTGTGTGCAGAAATCTTGTTAAGATTTCTTGCAAGATTCTTGCAAGATCCTCTCCTGGGCCGATCGCCCACGGTGTTGCAAGAATTTTCCAGAAAGGATAAAGGATAAATGTGGGTGCCGAGGCTGGGCTTCGGTTCCTTGGGCAAGAGCCGACTTTCTGTTTTCCTTCGTGGCCTGCGAAAGGGCAGACGGAGGGCCTGCCCCGGCCCTGGGTGCCCACCGGCCCTGCGCCTGCCTACAGCCCCCAGACCGCATCCTCCTCCCCCTGCCTCCCTCCTCCCCCTCCTCTTCCTCCTCCTTCCCTCCCCCTCCTCCCCTTCCTCCTCATCCCCCTCCTCCCCCTCCCCCACTTCCTCCCCCCCCCCCTCCACCCCCTCCTCCACCCTCTTCCCCCCCCCCTCCACTCCCTCCTCCCCCTCCTCTTCCTCCTCCTTCCCTCCCCCTCCTCCCCTTCCTCCTCATCCCCCTCCTCCCCCTCCCCCACTTCCTCCCCCCCTCCTCCTCCCCCTCCCCCGTCTTGGCACTTGCTAGGCCTCTACCCCTGGAGCCATGGGACTTGAACTCAGCATCTGGGCTGTTCCTGGGCTTTTTCACTCAAATCTGGCACTTTAACTACTCGGGCCACAGCTCCTCTTCCAGGTTTCCAGTGGTTCATCGAAGATAAGTGTCTCCCAGTCTTTCCTGCCCAGGCTGGCTTTGAACCGAGATCCTCGGATCTCAGGCTGGGATGGCAGCCGAGGGCTCCAGGCTGGACACACCCAGCACTTGTTTTCGGTTGGGCTGGGGCCTGTGGGAGGCCGGGTCTCTGCAGCCTGTCTGTGGGTGCCCCCCCCAGTGGACGGCTGGTCCTGGGGATGGAGATGCTGCCCCCCTGTGGACGGCTGGTCCTGGGGATGGAGATGCTGCCCCCCCCCCAGTGGACGGCTGGTCCTGGGGATGGAGATGCGGCCAGGCTGCGCCGTCCTGGAGGCCGCAGATCCGCAGAGCCGGGCTCAGCCTCCCACATGTCCGCTCAGCCCTGGGGTGGGGGGAGGCCGGGCCGCTGCTGACACCTCGCAGCTGAGGCCTGCGCCCTCTATGTCGGTCTGCGAGTGCTCCGGAGCTTCAGGTCCTGAGCTGTGTTTAAGGGTGTGGGGGCCGCGGCCTGGGATCCTAGCAAGGCCGGGCCCAGAAAGCAGAGGAGCTCCCTTCCAGCCTGGGACAGAGCCTGGGCAACTCCCATGCCCACAAACAGAGAGCAGGCTTTGGTGGTGACCCCATCCCCTGCTCATGAACCCCATCCCCCAGCTCTGATCGTCCAACTGGACACACAGCCGGACACAGCGGGACACAGCCGGGACCGGCTCCGGGGCCGCCGAGGGGCGGGGACGGCGGACGTCATCGTGACGCTCCAGTCAGCGGAGTCCACCGCGGGGCTGAGGGCGCGTCGCTTCTGTCCCCCTCCGTGCCCGCGGAATGGACGGTTCCGAGGGGCGTGGCCGGGGCCTGCCGGGGGCGTGGCCGGGGCCTGCCGGGGGCGTGGT